GAGCATTGCTCCAAAGGTGGAGTCTTACACCCTCGGGGTCGTGCCCCCAAAGACCGAGCGCTTGACCCGTGTTTGTTTCGAGAGCGTTGCTCCAAGGGTGGAGTCTTACACCCCTCAGGGCCGTGCCCCCAATGACCGAGCGCTTGGCTCGTGTTTGTTTCGAGAGCATTGCTCCAAAGGTGGAGTCTTACACCCCTCAGGGCCGTGCCCCCAAAGACTGAGCGCTTAGCCCGTGTTTGTTTCAAGAGCGTTGTTCCAAGGGTGGAGTCTTACACCCCTCGGGGCCGTGCCCCCAATGACCGAGCACTTGGCTCGTGTTTGTTTCAAGAGCATTGCTCCAACGGTGGAGTCTTACACCCCTCGGGGTCGTGCCCCCGACGACCGAGTGCTTAGCTCGTGTTTGTAGCACTATGAAGACTGAAACCAGATTTAGTAATAGTATTTCTTTAAATTTGATACATTCCATGGTCGAATTACATCGTCACCATCCATATTTTGCAAACGATATGCGCCAGTGCCCCCCACGGAGATTACCTTGTAAGGACCCTCCCAATTAGGACCAAGTTTTCCATCAGTGGGCTCGCGCGTATTCCCTACCATTTTTCGCAGTACCAAATCTCCGACTTGGAATTCCCTCAATTTAACTTTTTTCTGGTGCTACCGTGACAACTCCCCTTGGTACTTTGCCAACTTGACGGACACCAATGACCTCCTTTCCTCGGCTAGATCGAGATCCCTATTGAGGGTTTGATCATTATTGCCAAACTCGAAGGCCTGGCTCCGTATTATTGGGAGTCCTACCTCCAATGGGATTATCGTCTCGACCCCATATGTCAGGGCGTACGGGGTTTTTCCCGTTGAAGTCCTCGGCGTGGTCCTGTATGCCTATAACACATTAAGTAACTCCTCGGCCTACCTTCCCTTTGCTGCCTCGAGTCTTTTCTTGATTCCTACCAACACAGTTTTGTTGGATACCTCAGCTTGCCCATTACACTAGGGATAGGCTAGCGTAGAATAGTAATTGTATATTCCGTATCCTGAGCAGAACTCTCGAAATGGGCCACTGTTGAATTAAGTCCCGTTGTCAGAGATGATAGCCCAGAGAATTCCAAATCGGGTGATGATGTTTTGCCACACGAATTTCCTCACTTTGACATCTCGAATGCTACTTAAGGGTTCCGCTTTTATCCATTTAGTAAAGTAATCAGTTGCCACTATCAAGAATTTCTTGCCTAGTGGGGATCTCGGGAGAGGTCCGACAATATCCATTCCCCACTGTGAGAAGGGCCATGGGCTTGTTAGAAAGTTCAAATCTCTAGCCGGTTGTCGAATAATGGGGGCAAACTTCTGACATTTGTCACATTTCTGAACATAACTCTTCGCATCCTTTTACATGTAAGGCCACCAGTACCCTCGCGTCATTGCTCGGTGCGCAAGAGACCTTTCGCCCGTGTGGCTCCCACACACCCCTTTCATGAATTTCGTACAACAATGGTTCCACTTTGTCCTCGGGGACACATAGTAATAGTGGTCCCGAGAACGATTTTTTGTATAGTTGCTCATCCAACATCCGGAATCTAGGGACTTTGAGCTTGATCTTTCTGGCCTCTCGGACGTCTTCCGGAAGCATTCTGCCTGCCAGGTACGCAATGATTGGCTTCATCCACCCCGACGGTGCCCCCATTATGGTTGGGTATACTTTCTCGGCCCTCTCTTCGTCTATGCTCGGACTGTCCCGGGTCTCTATAAGTATACACCGAGATACCTCTAAGACCAAAGCTGAGGCCAGGCATGCTAAAGCGTCGGCGTGGGTGTTTTGATCTCTAGGGATCTGGGAAACTTCCATTTTTTCAAACTTTTTCATCCTGGATCTTGCCTTCTCATGATATTCCTTCATCCTGCTATCCCGGACCTCGAAATCCCCATTAACCTAGTTCACGACCAGCTGGGAATAAAAAAAAATCCGAAGGTGTTTAACTCCAATCAAGCTTGCGGCGTCCAGTCCTGCTAGCAATGCTTCGTACTCGGCTTCGTTGTTGGACGCCTTGAATTTAAATCTGACAACCCTTTCAATGATGAACCCTTCTGGGTTGGCTAGTACGATACCTGTCCCTGCCCCCTGGCATTCGAGGACCCATCAACATGGAGATCCCACACGTCCTTCGACCGATCCAGTGTTGGGGGCTCGCACGCAGAGAACTCGACAACAAAATTCGCCAGGACTTGTCCTTTTATTGACGTTCGGGGGTTGTACCTGATTTCAAACTCTCCGAGCTCTACAGCCCATTTGGCAATCCTTCCGGACATATTGGCCTTGTGCAGGATCGGCTTGAGAGGTCGGTCCATAAGGATGTCCATGGCGTGAGCCTGGAAATAATACCAGAGTTTCCTTGCCGAGACCACCAATGCCAATACCGACTTCTCCATCGGAGAGTATCTTGTCTCGGCGTCGAGCAAGGTCTTGCTTACGAAATACACGGGTCTTTGTGCCCCTTTGCTATCCTTGACCAATGCTCCACTAACGACATCTTGGGAAACGGACAAATAAAGGCTTAACACCTCTCCTGCTGTTGGAACAGACAACGTCGGAGGGTGTTTCAAGTACTCCTTGATCCCTTCAAGAGCTCGATCGTACTCCTCGTTCCAAACCCCATTAGCTGCCCCCTTAACTTGGAAAAGAATGGTCTGCACTTATTGGACGATTTGGAAATAAACCTATTAAGGGCCGCCAACATCCCGACCAATTTCTGAACGTCCTTGACAGTCTTGGGCGCCTGGACATTCTGAATCACCTGTATCTGCTCGGGGTTTGCCTCAATCCCCCGATGAGTGACTAAATACCCCAAAAACTTTCCATAACTTACTCCAAAGGTGCATTTCGAGGGGTTAAGTTTTAGGCCATATTCCCGGAGGATGACAAATGTCGTCCCGAGATGGCGGAGATGGTCAGCCTCCTCCTTGCTCTTGACCAACATGTCATCAATGTACACCTCCATCGTGTCGCCGAGCTGGTCTTTGAAAATCTTATTCATCAATCGTTGGTAAGTTGCCCCGGCATTCTTCAACCCAAAGGGCATTACGGTATAACAGTAGATCCCCCGCGGAGTGATGAACGTCGTTTTCTCCTGATCTGGCTCGTGCAGGAGAATCTGGTGATATCCAGCTCGAGCATCCATGAAGGTGATGCGTCTGTGGTCGGCCGTGGCATCTACGAGCTAATCAACCTTGGGCAAAGGGTACTCGTCCTTAGGGCAAGCCTTGTTTAGGTCCGTGAAATCCACACAGACTCGCCATTTTCCTTCTTTCTTCTTGGCGCACACAGTATTAGACAACCATTGGGGGAACTGCACCTCCTTGATGGAACCCGTTCCCAATAACCTGTCCACTTCTTCTTCCACAGCTTTCGCATGATAGGGGGTAGTTCTTCGGGCCTTCTGCCTGACGGGTTTGAACAAGGGGTTCACATGGAGCTGATGGGTCATCATGTCGGCACTTATCCTCGTAATCTCGGCCTGAGTCCAGGCAAAGACTTCGGCATTGTGGCATAAAAAGGAGGTCATATCATCCTTCTCTGCACCGTTGAGTGATTCCCCTATCAAGAAGTATTTCTCGTTGTCATCTGAACCCAAGAGAACCTTTACCAAGGCTTCGGTGGAACGGTCGGCAGGCTCTGTTATGGGCTCATCCACCCCTGGCCGACCGTTCTGTGATTGCTATTTGGCAATCACCGCATCAGGATCGCGCTCCTGACTCCGGCCGCTTATTCCCATTTTGACAGCAGCGTAGAAGCAGCTTTTTGCCGAGGCCTGGTCACCCAGAATTTCTATTACGCTCTGTGGTGTTGGGAACTTTATCTTCTGATGGTAGAATGAATGGACCGCCTTAAGTGCATGCAACCATGATCTCCCTATAATTGCATTGTACGGGGAGTCGGAGTCTACCACCACGAACTCTACTGGAATGGTCACCACCCCCGCTCGTACCATGAGAGTGATTTTTCCAAGGGGTAGGGCGCTGGAACCGTTGAATCCGATGAGGGGAGTCTTCATGGGTTCCAAATCCTTCTGAAAGAGTCTCATCTTGTTAAAAAGGTGATTGTACATTACCTCGGAGGAGCTGCCCGAGTCCACCAATATCCTCTTAACGTCGAACTTCTTGACCCGTAATATGATCACCAATGCATCCTCGTGGGGGAAGACCACCCCTCCGAGATTGGCATCGGAGAACTGAATTACCTCGGCAGTGCCCCGAGATCTTTTGGACAGCCGCTGGTCCCCCCTTTCATCCACCTTGATTGCCTGGGACACCCTTTGCAACTCGGAGCGGAGGGAGTTGTATGTGGGCTACTCCACCGTGCAGGCATGGATGACGTCGATCACAGGTGCCGCCTCAGCTGGTCCTTCGGCTCGTTCCCCCATCGACCCCCCGGGCCGGCCCTTGTCGATGAACTCTCCGAGGTGCCCCTGTTGCACCAACCGCTCTAAGAAGGACCGATAACTGTTGCATTCCTCCGTCAAATGGCCGACATCTCTATGATATGAACAACGGAGGGCCGAATTCCTTGTTGACGGGTCGCTAAGCATCCTCAGGGGGCCACCTGAAGTACGATTTATTTTTGATTTTGGGGAGTATCTTGTGAATGGGCTCATTGAACACCGTACTTACCCCCTGAAAGGATAAACGACTCGGGGGTGTGATTGGACCTTATTGTACCATAATATTGTGACATGATTACATCAATTTTATAAGTTTCAATAGTATTACGTGGCTTGGCTGTAAGTAAGATGAAAGTAAAAAGAGGCTAAATAACACGAGTACCATATGTTTGCTCACATGATTTGTACAGCCCTTTCCCATACAAATAATGGAGAGTCGTCATAACAGCTTTTGGAACCACTAAATGAAACAATCTCAAACTAGTCCCTTATCAAGGTACTGTTTAAGCAACCCATGGAAGACGACACAACGTGATGATAAATATAACAGCTCGCGCTTGCTCCTTACGAAGAACAGCAGCCACTACTCTGTGCAACAGGTTGTCCACGAATATTCACTGTTGGAGGTTTGGCATTGTTCATGGCCGCCGGTTGGCTTGCCATCCTGCATTCGGGAAGAACATTGAGAGGATAAAGCACTAGCAGAATTTAACAAAGAAGCAAAAAGGAGTGGTAAACTAGCCAAACAAATGAGTTCGAGCCTAACGAGCTCGTTTTTCAAAATAAGCCTAAAAAATTCAAACTTGACTCACTATAGGGCTTTGTTTTCTAAACAAGTTTAAAAAATTGTTCGACGTCAGCTCATTTTCCGAATGAACGAGCTCGAATCGTGCCAAGCCCAAGTAGCTTGGATCATTTACCACCCCCAAGCAAAAGCAATAGTAGTAAGGAATCTTGATTGCATTAAAAGGCTAGAAATAGATGGATCAAAGTACTCCACAATTTAAGAAACTTCAATACAACTACTATGGAATGCTAGATTATCATATAAATTATATTGTTCAATCTAATTGCCTAAGTTTATAAACTAAGTGTCTGAGCAATTCATTGAAATCTCAAGAAACCAAATGAGAGGTCATAATTAAAAGATGAAGGGTGAGATCAGGGGTGACAATTTTTGACATAACATGTAACCACTCCTCGTTATTGACACGAAAGTATTAGGTTATGCATAATTATTTCTTAACACGAATTTGAAAATGACACAACCTATTAATACAAATAATAAATAGATCGAGTTAGTGTCAAATATGGATAACCCAAAATTGGCATGATTAGTACGTTTAACTAGTATTGTAGGAATAAAATGCCTAAATTTTTATTAATTTATTATTTTTTTTTATTTTTTTTTATCAAATATTGACATAATCCTTATACAATAAGAACATTTTTTTTACTTATTTTTATTATTATATGTATTTAAGTTAATTTTCAGCTTAGAGAAAACTGAATGTTAGTTCGATTAAGAGATAATAGAATCTTAGAATAAAATATTGGTGTTAAATTTTTTATTCATGGTTATATAGGTCAACAGTCAACACGAACATGATATGAAAATAAATAGGTCAATTTAGTATGACAATTAATTAAATGAATTGAATTAAGATTGACTAGTGCTGGACATGAACACCACACAATTGCCACCCTAGGTGAGATCTTAATGGCGAGCACACAACATTAATTAAATAACTTTCTATTCACCCTCTTTGTGAAGCCTTTAAGTGAGTTCCCCTAGAAGATAGGTGGTCCCCATTTCTAGCAATCTATCAACGAACCATGCCATCATCCAAAATCTCAAAGCACATTTCATGTAAAAGCAATCAAAAGGAGGGGTTGATCTTCATCAAAAATTACTTCTAATCACTTTCATAGAATTGTAACTGACGACTAAGCATAGTGTAATTACCTATTTTTTATCGCAGCAGCCATAGCCATGAAAGCCTGCTCTACGTTAGTAGCATCCTTTGCACTGGCTTCCATGAAAGGAATCCCGATTTCATCAGCAAATGCCTACAAGGAATTAAAGAAAGACCAAGCTCATCACAAACTGCTAACAAATGTAATCTTCATTCAATCACAAAAAAACAACTTATGGACAACTCGTTTACCTTGGCTGTTTCATATGACACAACTTTATTTGCAGTGAGATCACACTTGTTCCCAACAAGAAGTTTGTTAACATTTTCACTTGCATAGCGATCAATTTCAGTAAGCCACTGCTTGACATTGTTGAAGCTGTCTTGGTCCGTCACATCATAAACCACCTATACAAGAAGCCACCACGGGAGAAATTAATTGAAGCAAACAGGGAATACATATTAATTAGACAAGAAAGGAAAAATACTCACAATGGTAAATAGAGAAGAGTACTCACTATAATCCCGTGTGCCCCACGATAGTAGCTGCTAGTGATTGTCCTAAAACGTTCTTGTCCGGCAGTATCCCACTGCATATAGTTGAAAAAGTAAACTGGTATAATTTAGTCATTAAGAAAACAGGAAAAAATGTTCTGTTGGTCACCCCTATCAAATCAAAGCAAAACCAGTTTAAGAAAAAGGAGAACAAACATAAAAATAGAACCAGATTACAGACCTGACTACCATTGTCAAGTGGAATGTAACACACAAGTAAGAACTGGCCAATTTCCAACTAGCTTAAAAAATGCCAAGAGGGGCATATTCATAAAACACTCGATAAAATAAATAGACATAATCAAAGAAGAAAAATGTGGTGCAAGCAAAACCTTACAATTTGAAGTTTGATGGTCTTCCCATCTTGCTCCACGGTGCGTATTTTCTACAAATGCAAACATGTTACCATAAACAAAAAGTACCAACAGACCACAGATAAGCACAATAATTGCTTTAAGCAAAATCTAGTTGCTTATGGCAAAATATTTACTTACAAAATCAACTCCAATGGTGCTTATGTAACTCTCCAAATATGAATCATCCTAAAACATAAATGAAAAAAAAAAGGAAGGGAAACCAAGAAAATAGTGATGGTTTCATTAGCATTATATCAAGAAATCTCCAACATGGAGACAATTTAAATCGACAAAAGCAATCCCATATGCATGATAACTCATCCAGATGTCTTGATCATATATTCAACTTACATTCGCAAAAAGAATTCATGAAAGCCATGTTGCCCGTTAGGAAATGCCATCACAAATATTTTATCATCAAATTACTTGCCCTTACTGAAAAGCACACAATTTGCGCAAAGAATGAAGTAGAATAGGCATGGCATACTGAGAGTATAAAGCCAAACTTCTATGGGAGGAGCCAGGGGCAATAGCACCAGTTAAAAAATAAATTAAAATAAAAGATGAGGTGGCACCCGGATAAGGAAGGAATTCCTTTCTTTAGTCCATACATAAAAATCAAAAGTTCTTTTTGATCTCTTTCATCATTTATTTTACTGCTATAATGGAGATATTATAATAGTATTCCACAAAAGCGAGTATTTAAGTATCTCATCGACTCAATCTCCTTTAAAGGTAATCAAAATTACATTACAATAATTCATCTGTAATATAAAATTTAGAATCTTGAAAGTAAAACAAACCAAACCTGGTGCCAGCTTAGAGACATTGCCGAGAGCAATTAAAATCTTAAATGGGAAACTTTTAATATATTTTCATATGCTCACAACTGAAAGTAAACCAAGTTCATAACAACACCATCAAGCCACAGCCTATATAACAGGGCTAATCCATTGACTCCTGCAGATAATACACAAGTAGTTGTAAATACAGTCATACATCAGAAATTGGAGGCTTCCTATATTTATGTCAAATTTTAATCCATTAGAAAGGAAAAGAAAACTGAGGAAACCATGAAAGTTATGAAGAGAGGACCATGAAAAGATTAATGTCATTATCAGGGATTTGGTAGATATATATGTGAGGAAGATGAGATTGAAGAAAAAACTGCCCATATAATTGAAAAAGTTGGATAAAATAAAGAAAACTTCCAAAATAACATTGAACACATTAAGTTATATCACTTTTATTAGATGCAAGACAAAATCTCTTTAGGTATAGACATGTATATATAAAAGTAGAACATAGGACTATAAAAAACTCTTACAACATTTTAATGTAACCAAATTAAGAATGTTAAGATACTGGAGTGACCATGGAGAGTTCTCTAGATAGTAGGGCCATGAGCGAAAAAGATCAATAAATACTGATCATGGGTGATTGACTGACATTGTAAGATATCATATATTCAGAATTACAAATAGGGAAAAAATATACAACACTAACTAAAGCAATAAAAAAGATATGACGTGTAGTATTACCAATGACACGGACCCATAAAAGGTAATCAAACAAATCAGATTTGCAAAGCCAAGAACATTTAGGTGGGATTTATAGCTCTGATGTTGTGGCGGTGGTTTTCTATAGATTTTTGTGACATTATTTGTTTACTTATTAATCAACAAAAAAAGAACTGGACCTAACCCCACCCCACCCCATCACATGCCATTCCATCAATTACCACTTACCACTATGCTACAATGGTTTAGTCAGCTATTCCTCGCATTATATGGAAATTCAACAAATAATGAATAGTCATGACCAAAAAAAAAAACAAAAACAAATAATGAATAGTATTATACTATTATTTAATTGATACTATTGACATGTCAACACTTTTCCAGTCTAAATTGTCAACTCTATAAGTTTTGAATTCAATTATTATAGACTTTTGAGTAGCAAAAGGAAAACTAGGACCGAATTTTTTTAAAAAAAAAAAAGGCTTTCAAATTTACTAAAACTTGTATTAAGAAGACCATCATGACATTTAGGTTTTCCAAATCACAAAATATGGTGCTCTAGAATAAATTGTCACATCTGTCAAGTCACAGATAAATGTGTAAATACAATCTTATAATAACTGTTGTGCAAAAAGATAGTGAACTTCCATTGCACAATGTAATAACCAAGATCATGCATGGTAATTCATCAGATGTCAACCATTGCGCACAAAAGGGATCTACAATTTCATCGGAAAAATGCAACATAGTTTGTTCTCCCACTTATGAAACAAAACTGAATGACAATTGAAACCTTCACATGAACAAGAATCAGATTACCCAAAACCATGTATGAATCTTAAAACGCCTAATAATAAAATATACGCATGTGAACTAGCAATGAAACATAATATCAGAAACACAGATGAAGTCCTTAATTCAAAAATTGCATACACAGTCAACATTGAATGTCCACCACCTGCAGGTGCCTCTATGAGCAGAAGCTGGCCCCAGGGGTCTAAAATACAACAATACATTCTCCAAAAGACTTCTATTCAAAAGCTTTATGATCCTAAAAAACTTACAGCAAATCTCAGTAGGAGACATGATTTTCCAACACCAGAATCTCCAATAAGCAAAAGCTTGAACAAGTAGTCACTGCAAAAGAAAGCAGCAGAAATATTAATTTTATTGAATTTGAACCATTTTGGTTGCAAACAGTAACATATGACTGTTCAACTCTGAATCCTCTCCCCAAGGTACAGAGAAAATATAGACAAAATGACAGCAGATAACATTAACCTTCTTATCAATAATTATATTCAAAGCATCACACAGAGTCAAGGCCATATGTAAACAATTCACAAATATTTTGGTTTTCTGCAGAAACATGTTTTACAAGGTAAAAGATGATCTGGTGCTCTCAATATGACTCACAACCATCAATCAGATTCTAAACAGAGTTTAAAGCAATAATTTGAAACAGCATTTCCAATTTTCAGTTCAGTTGAAAACCAACACATAAAGTACACTGGGGTAAGCAACAAGGGCTATGATATTCTCATATTGTAAAGAATGTGTAAACAATGATATCTAACACATTAATGTAATCATTTATCTGTGTTTCCTGATTATTAAGGTGAAATGCTTGCATCAGTTTGAATAGAGATTACAATAGCACTTAGAGCAACCTCCAGATTTTCCAGGCTATCATCTCAAAGATACTTATAGGCTTCACTGGTTTGAATTTCACTTTATGGTGCTAAAAATTAGATAAATTTTAGCCTGCGCTATGAGGAACCAACCTGTGTTAAATACAAGATAGCATCAATAAAAAGGTCATTATGCTAAAATCTGAAAAACAGGTCTCTTCATAAATCATCAAGAAGGGTCAACATGACAAAAACCAGTTATCATGCATGCACGCCTAGAATTCTTCCACAACCTCAATAATTAGACTAAATGACCAATATTAGCCATCTTTCTTCCTCTACATCTGTCCTATTTTTCTTAAAATATGTCCCATATTCATTAAAAAAAAATTGGTATATTCTGGACAGCCATACATCAATTTTTTTGATATTCTACACCTTGTAACCATGCAAATATTAACAATTTAGACAAACATAAACCCAATTGACATTAATTCTTAAACAATTAGAGCTACACCCCAACTAAAGGACCTAAGACCAAAATTCAATATCTAGGGTTTATGGAACAGATCAGGAATAATAATACAAATCAAGCATCACATCAATCATTGGTAAATAACTACAATATCACAAACATGTTATAAACGAGTTTTTCAAAACACACAATATCTCCAGAAGTTAGTTATCAATGAGACATGAATACAATTCGGTCATATTTAGGGAGGAGGACTGAAGGGAACTTACTAGTCGGGATTCATTGTTATGATTGTGATCGAGAAACGTAAAGGACGCCGGAAAATTGATGTTTTTCCCGGCGCGATATGGCCAAAATCCGACGGATCTTTACCGGAGAAGTCAGCTGCGAGGGGGTGGGGGACGGGAAGAGAGAGGGAGAGTTCCAAGGGAACACGTAAATAGTGTTGAGAAAGACGTTTGGGAAGGAACCGTACGTACGGGTTGATGACATTAACACATAGCTTTGGATGAAGAGTAAATTATCTAATTACCCCCTTAGATATCATTAATTTTAAGTATGCCCATTTTAATTCATTTTTTTACTAATTTAGTCCTATAACTTTTTAATTTGACTAAATATGATCTTGCATCCAATCCTTTCAAACTTAAGAGTCGTACACACACTGTACTAGTGTGCATATAAAAAACAGAGGGATTTGAAACTTAGAATCAAATAACCGTGCTCAATCATAAATTTTCTCCACAATCCAAATGCCTCTTTCTCCCTTTCTTCTTCCTCCTCCTCCTCCACCACCACCAAACTGAAACCACAAATTTTAAAATTTGTGTTTGCTTTCAGTAGAAGAAGTCGGAACAAAGGTATGAAGAGAAGACATAAGGCTGTAAGCAGATGAGTTAGTACAAGCCCACCAAATTTCTTCTATGAATTTGGCCCAACTTGCAACCAATCCGTCCACCCCACTAACTCACACACTCGGGGTGGAGGCAGTGATACCACCGCGGCTTTAGCCACTGGCACCACCATTTGTACTTTTATGCTGCCACCACCACACTCACCAACGCTATTTCCACCAACACGACCACCACTATCATCATCTATACAACTTATATCATGTTATATAATCAATGTCATACTCAGAATTTATATATTTTGAACTTTTTTTTTTGGGTGTTTAGATCAGTTTTAGTAATTTGTTACCTTATGATAGACTGCATCTCAGCGAAACAACGAAAGGAGCAAATGAATCGGACTTGAATTTAATTTTGTAAGTAGGTTCAACACGACTCTAATAGATTTTTGTTTATAAATAATTTTAATTTCGTTATTAAATTACCACTATTTAAAAAATGAACAATCTCAATTATATCTTTAAATCGTTTTATTCGTATATATATTTTTCTTCCCTTTTATTCTCTAAACGGAGTTTTATGAGCATTTGACTCCATACCACCCATACACACATTTTTGTCATATTTCTTATTTTATACACTTGCTTATTCATGTTTTGCAATTCATTGAGTGGAACAAGATGATATCGAAGACCATGGTTGCACCTCAACACATTTCAATGATTGTCAAATTTTTTCCATGTAGTCATGATTAATTATGTTCCAGCATTCAATTTAAAAAACTTTTGTTGAGAAATTGAATTCAATTTAGTTTAGATTCTATTTGAATGCTTGTAATTTTTGTCGAGCCGAGCTTGCACAAAAAACCTAAGCTTAATTGTACAACTAAGTTGGACTTGAATATATTTGAACTAAGACAAATTGGACTCATTTTTTTTTTTTTGAATGCTGTAGATTTCTCCTTAATTTCAGAGATTTTTTGATTTATAGGACATAAGAGTTGTAGGTTTGCTCAGTTTAGACATTAAGGATGTGTATGTGTACTAAGAGAGGGAGAGCTTATCTTTTGTTATCAACTTCATATTGGGTGATGAAGTCAGGATTCTATATAATAGAGATAAAAAAATATGATTACAAATAATTTACTAGTTGATACAAACAGAATTTAAGTTCGAACCTGGCAAAATATAATAAGGTTTGAGTCTAAATAACTATATGAAATAGTAAAAACTAGTTTCCATTTAGTCTAAACCAAATAATATGTGAAATAACTTTTTTTTAGTATATTTCAATTCAATCTTTACTTAAACTAGAACACAACGTTCTTTAAAATCTTAAAAATTTTCTATAACTAATTAATACATTGCTCAATAATTTTAATTTACTATACAAAATCGAAGTGTTTGTGAAAAAAAAATCATTAGTTTAGTGTTCAAAACTTAGTTGAGATCATGCTCTCTCTTGTTGAGATATTGATTATTGAATATAGCAAACAATCCTTTATACAACATTTTGCTTCTAATAGTGTTTTATTGAGTTATGTATTATTAATTTATCAGTTATAAATTTATTTTTTAAAAGTATAATTTGGCCTCAAAAAATAGTAATTTTATCTTTAGAAATTATAACTTCCATCACTTTTTGAGTTATATCTTCTACTTTATAAAATTAGTAGTTAATAGTTGTGTTTAAAGGTACAGAGTAATAAAAAAAATTATCAATCATAAATATATTTATATTCATACCCAAAATAAATCACAAATATATAGGAGAAAAAAAGTAATTTAAGCACTCATTGTACTGGAAGTGGGCAATGGTGGTGGTGTTGGGAAACAGTAATGATTGTGATGGGCGACGACAACTACAGTGGTGGTAAAAGCCATTGGTGACAACAGTGATGGTGGTAATGAATTTTGGATGACGATAGTGGTATTGACAATCATAAGTGACGGCGACGGTAGTAGTAGGCGACAATAGTGGCGGGTTATGGTAATGGTGGAGGTGTGAGTGGTGACAAATAGCGATGGTGGTGGTAAGTGTGATGGGGGTTGATAACAGTGGGTGGCGACGATAGGTGATGGTGAGATAATGGTGATATTGATAATAAATATAAGAATGAGATAATGATAGTAATAAGTGGTGGTGGTAGTAATCGGTGGTGAGTGGCAATGGTGGTGGTGATAGTGGGGCGATAGAGGTAGTGGTGAGGAGGGCGATGACAATGATGGTGGGGTAACAGTGGCGGCGGCGGCGATGGTGGTGGCGGTGAATTATTTTGTAGAGAAATAATTTTTAAAAATAGAAGTTATTTATTTTTATTTTTTCTTACTTATTTAAGTGGTAAAATTACTTTTGACTTATTTATAATTAATTAAAATAAGTTATCTCAAACATTACTTATTTTTTTTAAAGTACTTATAAGAAATAATCATCTTAGAAACACTTTTGAAAAATTACCTCAAACATACTTTTAAGAGATTTATTTTTCGTATTAAATTTTGAGAGTTAAAATTAACTGTAAGATTAACTGTCAGATTAAATTTAAAATAATTTCAACTGTAAAAAATTAAAATTTATTTTTTATGTCGTACTATATAATATTGATAATTTTCTTTCAGAAAATTATAAATTTTGGCATAGATATCGATTCCGGTGCCATTTTATTTCTCGATCTTTGAAGATGATTCTGTATGCACGTGCTTATATGCCACGTTTTCTTTGTGAAAACAAGACGCGTGTCATTGAGCACCAACCAAAAAGGGCACGTGTCTTCTAACACGTGACCATTCAGTTTTGCATCTCCCCTGCCGCCTTGATCCAGTACACAATTACTCGCAGCCAATGTTAAGAGTTGGCTTTCATAAGTTGTAAACATTTCTTCCTTTTCTTTTTTATCTTTCTAAATTAATCTTACACTATCGGATGAATTGTGTAGGCTCTATGCAGCACATCAAAGCAGTCCAACAGCAAGTGTTTGGATGGAATTTGGGTGAAGGATTAGATTGGCTTTGATGAAACTCTTATACATGGATCCGATGAAACCCACTCTCTGAGTTTGATAAAACCCTTATACATGAATTTGTTGGAGTCTAAGACCTCTTTAAATCTCGGATGCGAGAAAGATATTCAAGCATGAACTATGATAATAGATTGAACTATTTTTTTAAACCAGTCTCTCTGGCTCGTGATTAAGGGATGAATTTCTATCAAATATATGATTTAACTCTCACACTTTTTTATTGTAGTTGTAATTTATAATATTTTTAGTTGAAATTTATATCTTTTTGACTTGCAACTTTTAAATGTATAAACTTTTGATATTGTACTAATTTTAGCATCGAATTACTATTGTACGTAAAAAATTACAAAATAACAAAAAAAAAAGAGAGAATTACACCTAAACCTCCTGAAGTTTGTCACTTAATCACTCAGACGACCTGACATTTGAAATATTACACACAGATCTCCTAAAGTTTATACGCTCGTAACACTTAGACCTATAATGTAAATATATTATTTAATAAATTACATTTACACCCCTCTAAAGTTTGTAAGTATATAATACTTAGACCCCTTAAGTTTAAAATATTATACTTAGACCAAAAGTACTCCAATCAAAGATAAAATATCAAATATTTTAAATTTTACAACAAAAATTCATATTATATTATATCATTTATTAAAATAAAATCAAAAATAAAAATTTAATTTTTTTCTTAAAAAATCATAATTAGTTTATAATTATATTGTTTATTAGAATTTAATTTGGTCGTTTAAACAACCAAATTAAATACCAAACTATCCCAATTAAAGCTAAAAGATATTGTGTCAATTACAGTTTGACATCTTGTTTAATTTTTTAGTTTTATTCTAATAGATAGTATAATTATATAATAACTATGATTTTTTTTAAACTAGACTTTTATTTTTGATTTTATTTCAACAAAAGAAATAATAGAACATGAATTTTAGATGTAAAATTCATGTTTTATTATGAATGACTTAGATCTCTTGTTTGAATTTTTAGTTTTATTCTAATAGATAGTATAATTGTATACTAATTATGATTTTTAAGAAAAAATAAATTTTTAATTTTAATTTTATTTCAATAAATGATACAATCAAATTTAAAATATTTGATATTCTATATTTGGTTGAAGTATTTTTGATCTAAGTATAATATTTTAAACTCAAAGGTTCTAAGTATTATATACTTACAAACTTTAGGGAGTCTATGTATAATTTATTAAATGATATATTTATATTAGAGGTCTAAGTGTTATGCGCGTACAAATATCAGGGGTATGTGTATAATATTTTAAAATATCAGGAAATCTGAATGATTAAGTGACAAACCTTAGGAGATCTAGACGTAATTCTTTCAAAAAAAAAAAAAAAAGAAAACACAAAAGATATCATGTTCTTAAACAAACACTTTGGAAATGTTGATATAATAGTGGCTGGGATATGCTCCAGAGTGGGTCCTATTTTAAACAAAAGCCGTACGATTTCGAGTACACAAATATGTACGTTGCGCTCTCACGCACACAAACATGCCACCCCCTTCGCCTTTACGAAGCCCTTCTCTTTCTGAAAGTAACAAAAATATTAAACAAGGTCCGCTAATGGAGGAGAAGCTAGGAAGGGACGGTGGTCTAGGGCGGCGCGTGGTGCAGGGCAGACAATCGGAGAGAGAGTAGGCTAATGTCGAGTCTTATGAGCTCTCTCTGTAAGTGGCCTTCAACTTTCAATTTTGTTCATACATTTTGTTTGGGTGTATAATTTTGCCGATATCAATTGAATTATTGGAAACTATTTCTGAAGTTAATTTGTAATTCATTATATGATTATTAGGGTAAGCCCTATTTTTTTGATTGAATTGTGTTGGGCGTTTGGTTTTTGGGGATCTTGCAATGTTTGGATGATGATGATATTGAAATGTGATGCTTAAAATTATTGCATTTTTGTTCATTATTGAGTAAAAATAGGAAAAAAAAGAGAGATGTTTACCAATCTTAGGGCACAAAATTCTGTGTATGTTCTTGAAAAATTGTGAATGCTGAGGAACCGTAAGATGATGATTAGTGATTTGATATAAGATAAATGATAATTATCTTATTAATGATGCTAAAATTGAAGTCAAAATGCTATTCGTTACCTTTTTTTATCTGTTTTAATCCAAATCCACATTACATTTGATTCCATTTACTTACTGGGTTTAACTAGTGGCTTGACATGATTATTTAGGGTTACATGGAGATTTCAATTTAACTATAATGAGAAATAATTAAACAACTCTCCGAAGTGGATAATTGGTGTACAGTTTCAAGCAATTAATCAAAAGCTCTAAATATATGCTGCACAAACAATTCTCATTGAAAAAAAAAAAGGTACTAATATGGATGACATTGCTTGGCTCATGAAATTCACTGCTAATTAAATTTACCTAGGAAGCTATCCCTTACCAACTTTCAAAAGCACATCTAATTCATCAAGAAAATGAGCTTTTCTACATGTTTTTGTGTGTGTGTGTGTTACAAAATAATATACGTCCAAAAACAATGCTGAATTGACAAGTTTTGGGAAATCGAAATCAAAGTTGTATAGAATAAATACGTTATATATTTTTACAAAAGATAATTGTTAATTACTAAATATGAAAATGCCAAACATGTTGTTGCCCCTGTGTTATCCCTAAGTTGAAATTCAACAAAAATATGCAGTCATAGCCATGTAATACATAGTGCATATCATGCATTTCCATTAATCAATATTGACAGAAAATCCAATGCTTTGTATTCAAAGGGAAATGCTAGTTATCAAATCCAATGTTTCTGCCTAAATATTTCTCTGTTTTGTGCTTTAATTAACTAAAAAAAATTGCCTAATAACTCCAATGCTTTGACATTAATTAATCTGTCCTTGGGTGAAAATACTAGCTTGCAGGAAAAACAATTATAATCAATATTCACGGCAAACTAGTTGAAACCAGTAAAACCCATAATTCACTTCCAACTTTTTGATAGTTGCCTTCCATTGCATTCTGAGAAATTTAAACACTTGGAAAATTTGGCTCTTTTCTATTTTGCATGGTTTATCTAGAGAAAACACAAATACAAGGAACATGACTTGTACTATATTTGAAAATAGCATTCATGCCACAATCCACATGTAGGGTAAGATTGTGAACCTGTGACCCTTTCTAATCCCGTGGTGATGGGAGACTGGTGTAGTGAGCTAAGAGGCCTTGGATAGAGAGTTTGAGTGCACACAAAGACTAGAACAACACACTGCAACAAAAAGGATACTAAATATGGGTTTATACCCTACTAGATGGACCATCTTCATGGATTCTTCTTCAATGTGTCTATGAACCGTCCATCCATGATATCATTACCAGAAATGAAGTCAAGAAAATCTTTGAAGCTACAAACGTTGTAGAATAGAGGTTGTTTCTCATCCACGAGCTCCGGTGCAGGTTCTACCTTCTTCTCCAAAGCAAGACTGTGAAGACTAGTCATAGACAGTCTCCTTTTCTCTGAGTTAACTGTAACTCGATGCACCACGCTTTTATATCGACCATTGCTCATAACTTCCATTTGGTCTCCCAACTGAATTATTAGGGCTCCTTCGATGACTGGAACCGAATGCCAATTCTTATCGTGATCCATAATTTGTAGCCCTAGTAGGGATTGATGCAGGATGGTTAGGTATCCGTAGTCCGAGTGGGGTGGCATGCCTAGTGTAAGATCCGGTTCGGGGCAGGCTGGGTAGCAATTTATAGCCATGACTTGTGAGCCCTGTTTGATGTCTTTGTGTAAGTAATTAGGGTTTAGTCCCAAGCTTTCAAAAACTACTTCCATTAGTTGCTTGTGTAAAACTTGCACATAATTTCCCATATTTTCCCTGTGGAGAAGAACCAATGTGCTGATTTTGATGTCTTTGGCATGTAAAACAACTTCATAAAATAATGACTTCTATCAGTAAAACACTGTAATGTTAAACAATGAAATTAGTATTGCAATATGTATAAATATATCAGCACACCAAAACATGAATATTCTTTAGTGTTTGCTTCTCCAGTTCCGGAATTTTTTTGTAAACTTCAATATGAAAAAACTCTTTTGGGTTTTGGCAAGAAAAAACCCTATTTTGTTGGCTTAGTTCTTAACACAGAAAACACAAAAGACTTGTTGAAAAATGGTACATTTCACTGGTTTTTATTCGTTTCTGGGCTTGTGTGGAGGGAGAACCTCGCGCATGGGACTGTCTTTTTTGGAAAGTGTTAAAAAATATTCTAGGGTTACTTACTTGTAGCTTGGGGGATTCGAAGGCCATAGGTCAATCCATGTTGGGATTGGATGAGAGTAATGCTTGATGAAATCCCTCCAAAAATGAACTTTATCCTTCACATGGTTCAAACTCGTGCCATACCTAACAGGTTCATGTACATTATCTGACGCAAGAAATATCTTCTCCTTGTTAGACCAGTTGAAAAACAACATTGCAGAGTTTAGGGCATCATTTATGACTGGGAGAGGAACTCCGTGGTTAATTACCTGCAAAAATACAAAATCTTTATGTAAACTTGATGATAATAATGCAATAACGAATGCATGGTTTCACTTTGTGTAAAATGAACATAAATTTCTCTAAGCTTCCAAGTGAGAAAAAATAACATAATTGGCGTGATCTTTCTAATGTGCTCCTCTTTAGTTCGTAATGATTGCGATCTCAGTAAGATGTGTCCTAAAGTATGTGCAGTGGAGGGTTGAAAGGATGCCATAAAGTATCTGAGACCTAACGAAAGGATGCCATAAACCGGAAAGGTCTATGACCGGTAGACCAGTGGAGGGTTGAAAGATAAGACTAGGGTTTGGGCGCTGCGTTGGAGGAAGAACATAACGTTGGGGTACATTGGCTACTCCCATTTGGTCAAGTGCCATTGCACTAGTGAATGAACTAGCTGAGCTTCCTCTCTCCTCTCTCTCGTCTAGTTCTCATCTTGTTAGTGATCTTAAAGGTGGCTATACTTCTCTATTTATAAGCTGAAGATATAAATTTTTTGTTGAATCAAATTTAATCCCAGAAGTATCTTTCGTGGTCTGTTACATTGAATGGAACTATGATACATTGAGACTCAATTGAATGCAGTTTATTTTCATATGCGGAATAGTGATGCAAATGAGCTTGTTCCTCATAAATATGGAGAGAGAGAGAGATGAATATCATGCAAAATATCAGGTCACCTTGGGATTCACAAGTGTTACCAGTATGGAACCTGAAACTTGTGTCAGCGTGGCCTGCCTTTGACCGGACTGGAAGAGGATTAGTCGAGGTTTGCGTAAGCTGATCCGGATACTTTTAACCGTCAGACGAAAAAAAAAAAGCCAAAGAATCTGATATGTTGATGGGCCTCCATGTGTATTACCTTGCTGTAGAGGAAAACGAATGCATCAATCCATCCAAAAGTAGTACATGGTACGTAAGAGATTGGAGTTATGTATATGGACCATTCATGTCAACTTGTATAAGTCATGCGACGTTGTTCTGTATTGAATCTGTTTGTCTGGATAGAGTTCTTTGAACTTAGGGACACCAAAGTTGCTGCTAGTGACGACCTTCACGTTTTTGTCTTAAAGCCATTTTTTTT